ACCATTTTATTTTACATTTGATTTTTGATAATGAAATTTTTAAAATGTCAGCTAATCCATACCAATTAGAACCTGTTAAGATTATGAAAAAAAAAGTACAAGAATACACTAAAATACAATACAGTTGACAGTAGTATCAGATATGAAAATTCGTGAAAGGATATGTAAGATCCTGATTTTGCATTAAAAGTACAATTAATTGCAACACAAGTCCGCATTATAAATTTTTATTATGTTTACTGTTCAATATTTTATAACCATCAAATTAAAAACATGAAGTTTGTATATTTTCAAATAAACAACACAATCTTGCATAATTTTAGGAGCATTTTATTTTTATTGCTTACTCGTTCTAAATAATAAGTAAATTTAGTTCAAGTTAATAATTCAATATTTACAGTTGCAATATAATAAAGAAATGGTGTTTAATACTGAACTTTTTATTGAGTTATTTATTTTTTTACCTACATTTGTTATAAAAAACTTTAGAACCCCCGTCATTAAAATAATTTGTTTTAAATATATTTCAACGTGATTATTCAAACTAATTTTTTTCGTTTGACTTTCCGAACTTCATGCAAAGCAAATTGAAACAAAATATCGTCTAACCAAATAAAAAAGCTGTTACTAATTTTATACGGGTAATTAATGTAAAACAATTTTTGAGATAATAAATATTCATAATTTATAAACATTAAATATACAGCGCAATAACAATTTATAGCAACGAACCAGCATAAAACATTTGAGGTTTTTAATATCTTTTTAAATGTTAAAAATAGAAAAAAAACACCTAAACAAATCAAAAAAATTTCGAATAAAAATAAATAAAAATATTTCTAGAGTTTCATATGTTAAAAGTCTACTGGGACGTCAAATACTAAAACTTTTATGAATTAAACGCCGTTCAAAGGAATTGCCAAAGTCTGTAGATTGCGACGCATAATTTGAAGACTCCAAGTGGTTGAAAAAAATGGAGAAGACGAGCTTCAGCAAAAACAACAACATTTGTTTTTCACGGTATGCATTCATTATTTATTTTTAATCAAAAAAATTTGGTTCAAACCTTTTTTTTTAACATTATCTTTAATATGAACACAACATGTGTTGGGAGTTTGGGATCCCTTTAAAGTATATTTATTTTAAGTGTAAAGTGTGTTCTATTTGTTTTTCAAAATTATCATTGTGAAAAATCTTTTCATTAAAAACAATATTGTGTTTAAAAGCGTCCTTTTAAAGCTAGCTACTATAAGATGTTTTCAGAAATGTGGTTATAATAGCTCTTAAAATCAAAAAATTTCTCAAAAAAAACCAGATTACCAGAGTTTTATTGTATTTTTTTGGCAGGTTTTATTAGGCAGGTTTTTTTAATGCCAACTCTTGTGGTGGTGAAACTAGTGTAATTAATAAGTAAAAAAAATCTATTTTTAATGTACTGTAATGTAAATTATATCAACATACATACTTTAATAGATATTAAGTATAAATATTAGGTATATGACAAAAAAACTTTTTTCAAAATTTTAATTTTCCTGATGTTGCATTTGATGAACTTTTACCAATAGATCACTGTTTTGAGGTTTATTTCATTGGATCACAAAAAAACCTCCCGCACCTAGCACCTCACCACTTTTAACTTTTTCGATTTTTCACTTGATTTTGTTCTCAGTTCTTACTTCCTTATGCTTGACTATGATTGACTATGCTTGAATATAACTACAAGTTGGAGAGCGTCAAACAGTTTAAAAAGTTAATTAACATAGAATGAAAAAGTTCGATAGTTTTAAATTGTTTTTATGTTATGTAACTCAATTATGAATAACAAATTTTAATGACTGTTTTTCAAATTAATGCCTGTTTGTTGTTGTTTGTTGTTGAGTATTTTTTAATGTTTGCGTGATTAAAATATTGAGTAGAAGTATTTAAAACGTTTTTTCATTATTTGCAGTATTAATTTGCAAGATCTGCTGTTTAGTGCTTCTTTTTAAAAATATGTCCTTTAAAATTCAAAGTCAAAATCAGCAGTGGAAGCAGCTGGTTAAATATGGACACAAAATTTGAAATCAAGCACAAAGCGCTGTCCTAATATACCACAGGTAAAACAGGATATTAACGACAAATTGTGTAAAATGCCTTCCAACAGAGATATCGTTGGAAGATTCTTGGGACTCTTTAATGAATTGAAAGGACGACATGATCGACTAACAAAAATATCCGAGGAATTGTTGAATCTTTGGCAGAAGTTTAATTTTCCTGTTCTTTCCAAACAACAAGTGTCTGCTAATGTTTACAAACTTATCACATCATTTGAGAAACACAGAAATGGGACCAAATGCAGTATTTGAAGAAAATATTGCTCATCTGTTCGATATAACAAAACCAGATGGAAATTGGCTTTGTAGTGAGGACAAACAACTGTACAAAGTACAAATTGAATCAGATGGCAGGGTGGAATATACAACTATGAAAGTGGCTCCTATGTCAACAATCCATCCATCAAAAAGGGCCAAAAGTACATCAGAACCCTCGACAAACCAAGCGGTTATCTCCGTACCACTTTCCTGCGATAGTGAGGATTCTGAGGAAGGAAGCAGCAGTGGTGACTGGGAGGCAGTTCCAGGAGAATCTCGCAGAAAGCGTGCAACATCTCAGTCAACTAAGCCTGCTGCCAAACTAATGTCTAGTCACTCTATGTCAACCAGAAAAATGTCATGGGTGCTTCAAAGTCTGGCTGAGGATGGAGTTTGTATCCCAACACCATCACAGTCTGGAGTCTGGCGTCGAACAATCAGAGATGCAGAACAAGTTAAGAACCGCCTCATGGAACTGATCTCTGAAGAAAAATTTTCTTTGCATTTTTATGGTAAGAAAATTGACAAGACTGAGTACCAAGTTGTGTGCTTGAAAAATGAAAAAAGAACATTACAACTTGGCATTTTGGTTTGTGACAGTGGGTCATCTGCAAGATTACAATGCATGGAACAGTATTCAGATGATTATCTCTGACACAACAGCTGTAAATACTGGTTGCAAGAATGGAGTTGTAGCCAAGCTTTAGAAAATATTTTGAAACAAGGGATTCGATGAACCTCAATAAATCGGCTGCCAACACCACATTCTTGATCTTGTTGTGCAACATGTGTTGGATTTCTTTTTTCCTATACAGTCACAGTCGCCTAACATTAACTACAAACTTATTGATGAGATTATGGAGCATTACGATGATTTAAAAAATGCCTACAAGGGCACAGCAGTGGTAGCAGAGTATGAGAACCTTGGCTGGAGAGATGACTTTAAATTTCTTTTTCAGCTTTGTGAAGCATACAAGTTTTACAAAAATGAGGAAAAATGGCCTCATATCAAATGGCACAAGCTGCCATCACTGCACAGTGCCAGGTGGAACTCAAGAGGCATTTTTGCGCTTATTGCATTTTTCATTCTTCCAAACTGGTGAGAACAGCTGAGGATAACTTGGGATTTCGTTGCAACTATATGGTCGCAGGCCTGGTTTTCAAACCAGCACTATGTAGAAGCGGCTTATGAAGACCTGCTGTCAGCAATATCCCAACTTAAGTGTTCCAAAACTGTGAAATGCTTCTCTACCCACTGGAAGAAGGAACCATCAGGGCTTGATATGCCTTGAACCAACATAGTAGCCGAAAGAGCTGTAAAGTTGATGGGGGACATTCGTTCTTTTTGCAGAACAACCAAATATCTTAACTGTAAATTTATTAATACTAATACACAAATCTGAAAGATTATTAACATTACTACAAATACTGTAGGGCAGTGTATTTCTAATGTATTTCTCATGTGTATTGTATATAAAGTTGACATATTATAATTAATAGCCTTTGGGCTGCTATGTGTTGTATGGTTAAATATGAAACTGTCTTAGGAACGGGAAGTTTTTTCAAGGTATGGTGAAATCAATGTCATTTCTGTGATATATAGGAAAAAGTTCATCATTTAGAACCCCAGGCTAATTGATTTAAAATTCATCATATACCTAATAAATATACAAGTAAAGAAGTGCAATATATATATTTTTTCTTTCATAGACCTAAAATTTTCTGCTCTTATTTCATAATTAGAATCAGGCAACTCCAAAAATAAGTGAGATATGATAACATAACAAATAATTTGGCTGACAATATTTTGAAATTGAAAAATTATTATCAGATATTTTTCCTTCATCTTTGATTCAACACATAAATTATGATTCAATTTTTAGTCATATTCTATTCTTTCTATTACAACTTAAATTATTCACACAAAAAGTATAGCTATAAAATCCATAATGGAGAATGTGAACCCAAATAAAGATTTTTTTTCCTAAAATTCAAAATGACATATCTTTAATATGCTTAATTAGACCAAAACCATCGTTTTTTGTTAAGATAAGGCTAATTTTTCCTTCTTTTTTTGAAAAAAAAATGAACCTGTGAGACTTGGGATACTCTGGGAGAACAGAACAAAAAAAATGATTGTCCATTTTAAAATCAAAAAACAAACATTAGAAATTTTAAATAGCAATATTTTTTCTAAATTTTTGATTTCTATCTAAAAAATGGTAATGGGTGGTAATGGTCAGGTGGTGGTCGGGTGTCAATTTTTAGCTAAACTCTTCTACTAGAACTTAAAATATTCATTAAAAAACTACAAAAACCATAATGGTTGGTCATAAAAAAGAAGTTGGTCATAAAAAAGAAGTTGATCAAAAAAAGAGCATTTTAGACTGAATTTTATGTTATAACTTTTGAACTGTTTTACATTTTTGAACTGTTTTACATTTTTTTCATGTTTTAATAATATTACTGGTTAAAATTTAAAGAAAATCTGAGGGCTGATTTAAATGACTGCCTTCTTTTTACATGGAACTACCTAGTGGTTAAGTTTTATAAACAGTTTACCTAGCATAAGGTTTTTCATATAGTTTACTTGCCATAAATATTTTATAAATACTTTACCTGGCATTATTTGTTCTATAAATAGCTTACCTGGCATTGACCAACTAAATTTTGGAGTTTCTTTTAACTTTGCAGCAAGGTATTCAGAACAAAAAACAAAAAGATCAATGACATGACTAGAGTTTTTGAACAACTCCATTTTAATAAAAAGCTTCAACACTTTTTGCAACAACCTTTGATCTACTAACTTCATAAATGCACAGAACTTTTTTGTCAACTCGCTTGTATCAATGACTTGATTCAGCTTTAAAATGGTTGTTGCTAATTTAAACAATGCTTTTTTTTTTTTCTTTAAATCTTCTTCAAGTCTGTTTGTATTTGGTTGTACCTTTATATGAATTTATTTTTATTATATAAATATTTAGTTGTACCTTTATATAAATTATTTTTTATTATATAAATATTTAAATAAAAATTTAATATATTATAACAATCATTTAAATTATCATGCATTTTGCTTACTTGATTAGTAAATTCTTTAGCTATGTCCAAAATAGGAGCTACACAGAACATAAAACACTCTACTGCGTTTTTTTCTTCTTTGTTTTCAAATAGAGTCTATTTATAAAATAAAAACTAGGTTTTAATAAAAGTTGATGGCCTGTTTAATTTGAATAAATTTTACCTGGACAAGAAAAATAAATTTACCTGGACAAGATTACAATTGTTCTCTAAATTTTGAAAAGTTACAGGGACCAGAGCCTCTTTTAGAGTTTCTTGTATTAAACACCAAGAAAATGATTTTATGATGAGTTTTATATTGTCAAACGATAATTTCTTTAAAAATTTAGACTGTTTGCAGGTCAAGAATAAATTTAGATTATCAAATGTTTTTAATTTACAACACATTTCAATAATACTTTGTATAGAAGTATGACTAAGATCATTATTTAAATGATGGTCTGAGTAATGGTGGTCTGAGTAATGGTTTAATGGAGTAATGTTTGAGTAGTTGATGTGGTCTGAATTGTTTTCAGTAAATTTGTTTACCAAAATACTCAAGATAGTCAAACAATCAGGGTTTTCTTCTAAATAATGCTCGTTATAAAGTATACTGACTGCAAAGTCCATTTTTATTTTAAAAAATGTGGTGATCTCAAATTTCTTTGGTAAGAAAACTAACAAATATTTATGATAAGTAGTGGTCTTTTGGGTGCCCTCATTTCCAGTATACTCTATTTCTTCTTCAAAATCAGATTCAGCCCACTTACTTTCGTCTTCAAGTTTAGCAAACGGTTTTCTTGATTTGCTATCAGGATCAATAACATGTGTGAATATATTTATTGAAATGTCACTGAATTCATACACATGCCCACAAACGCTGTACCATTTGTCAATTTCACTTATACGTTCATATTCTTCCCAATCAACAGTTGTATCATATGATTTAATAACTAAATTTGCACGTGCAATGAAAAAACTCATTTTTTTGTCTGATGAAAGTCTGCTGTTTGCATTTTTTAGAAGATTGAACCGAAAATTATCGATACCTTTAATTTAATTATAATAATATTATATATATATATATATATATATATATATATATATATATATATATATATATTTAATACATTAAAAATAATTTTATGTTTTATTGCATAAAACATAAAATAACTTTTGTATAAAATAATTTTTTAACAAAAAAAAAAAAAAGAGTAGTTTTTATGGTTTTTCTTTTACATTTTTATTCAAAGTATTTTTTTTTGAAATTTTTATAAAACTTTGCTTCTTTGGAGACCCAAAATGACACACATCTCAAATTTTTTTTTGGAGATTAGGATCTTGTAGCAAATTTTAGAGATGCGGCGGCCCGCAACTCTAAAATTTTTTCAAATGTGATTATAATGGTCTAAAGTTTCTTTTAGATTGTTGTGGATCTTAATTTTTTCATAATTGTTGTTCAAATTAAAAAAAAAATTGCAAAAAAAAAATAATTTTGCACAAATACGCAAAAAAAGAATTTTGCGCAAATATGCAATAAGTTTTTTTTTTTTTTTTTGCATAAATTATGACAATTTTTTTTTATTTAAAATAATGATTATGAAAAAATCAGAATACATAACAATCTAAAAAAATTTGGACTATTATGATAACATAAAAAAACTTTTTTGAGATTTTTTGAGGTATTTTGCTGCTTGAGCCCAAGGTAATATTTTTAGAATTTTTTTTGTAATCTTTTTTTTTTTTATATTTCCCCTAAATTGGCTACTTGTGTATTTGCATTTTAAAATTTTTATAGTTAGTTGGGAAAAACCGGCCAGATTTTTTAGTCGTTTTGAGAACATTTAGGTTTATGTATGATTCCTTGTTTGTCCACAAAATAATAAAGTTCATTATTTTATCGTAAATTTTAAAATATTTTGTTTTATGGACATATATGGAAACATACATAAACTCGAATGTTCTCAAACATCTTTGTATGGAAAAATTAAAAAAGAATATTCGCGAACACAAAAAAACTCGCTAAATCTGCGAAAAACTAATTCTATTAGTTCAAAAAATACTAACCGAATGTTCTAGAGTATTCTGTTTAAATATTTAAAAAAATTGTATTATTTTAGTTTTGTTATATTTTTTAAAATATTTTGTTTTATGGACATATATGGAAACATAAATAAACTCGAATGTTCTCAAACATCTTTGTATGGAAAAATTAAAAAAGAATATTCCCGAACACAAAAAAACTTGCTAAATCTATGAACAACTAATTCTATTGGTTCAAAAAATACCAACCAAATGTTCTAGAGTATTCTGTTAAAATATTTAAAAAATTGTATTATTTTAGTTTTGTTATATTTTTTATGAGATTTCTAGCATAAATTGTTTTAAGAACATACTATCAAACGAACTATTATTTTAATTCTCGAAGCCACATCTACAAAGCTATAAATGTTTTAAACTAACATTATTTGTTTACAATAGTAAATATTTTAAATTTATATTTTTTAAACTTTTTTTTAATATATTAAAATATATATTTTATTAGTATATTCTTATTTTTTATATATAAGGAATGTATTTTTTATGTATGTAATGTATTTTTATGTATTCAATGTATTTTTATTTATGTAATGTATTTTTATGTATGTATTTTTTATGTATGTAATTTTATGTATGTGTATTTTATTCAAATGTTATCTTTAAAGCAATTTGTGCGATTGATTTTGTAAACAAAAATACTTTCAATAATAACTGCGTTTTCAATGAAATTATTAATAATCATCTAAGTTAATACAAATAATTTTAACCACTAATCCATTTTCCTCAGTGTACCCAATAACCGACTCTTTGAAAAGTTTTGAAGCTCTTAAAAATTGGTTTACTAACTTCAATTATTTTTGCCTCAGCCATTTTTACAAACTCGTTATACTTAAACTTTACTTTAAAAGTTTTAAACTTTACTTTAAAAGTTACTTTTTTCTGTTTTAAATACTTGTTGAAATTATAAAGCCCACTCACTAAACATCATCAGCGGTATTGTGAAGCAGTTCGTTTCCTCCTCACAAAGTAATTTAATGTTTTTAGTTAACTTCTATCTAGCTAATTGAATTTCTACAGTAACTCAATGATTTAATTATTTCATTTGTTCATCTTACTAAGAAGTATTGTTTCAAATGTCTTAAACTTTACAAACTATGCGAAGCATAAAATAGTTATTGAAAAAAATTTTTTATTAATAAATAAATCATCTAGTGTTAGTTTTATTGGTTGAATCTTGTTGGACTTTTCACGGCCAGGGGCCGCATGATTTTGGTGGTCTTTTTTATGTGCCGTAAAAATAAAAAAAAAAGCGTAAAAATAACTAAAAAAAATACAGAATGGTCCTTTTGACTTTTTTGTGGCCCCTAATATTGTGAGTCTTGAGGCTATAGCCCTTCTACCCCCCCCCTACCTCCTCAATCCAGCACTGAAAATAAGACATAAATATAAAAATTATATATACTCTTTGATAAATCGAAGAATATTTGTTCCCTTATTAAACAATCATTAATAGTAAGTTGTTACTTTATATGAAAAATGTCGCTCAACTTAAAAAATTTTTTAAAAAAATTTTAAAAGAGCGACATTTCAAAAATATTTGCTCTAATCGTATTTATTTTGCTTAAAGTTTTTTTTAGAATTATTTCTGTAGTCAATTATCTCAATAAAGATTTCTCAATAAAGTTTAAGTGTTAGTATAATATTTACGCAAAGTTGGACAGGTGTCCAGAGAGGAAAATTTAACTAATTTTTAGAAGAAAAATAATTTTTTTTAAAAAGTTATTATTATCTATGAAAATTTAAAGTTATTATTATCTATGAACATTTAAAGTTATTTTTATGTAACGAAAACATTAAAGTTATTATTATGTAACGAAAACATATCTTTGAAAATATTTTTAAAAGTTATTATTATCTATGAATAATTAAAAGGTATCATTTGCTATAAAAATTTTTTAAGTTATTATTATCTATGAAAATTTAAAGTTATTCTTATCTATGAAAATTTATACTGGTACTCTCCACTTGGTTGCGGCATGAGTAGGTGGTGGCTTCACAACTATTAAAACACACACTGATCCAGTTCCAGCCAAGCAATTAAGCTAAATGATCTTTCACCCGTCCCAATCGATTTCGGGTGAGCCTCAGGAAGTTTTATTTGTTGGTTTTATCGTGGTTTTAGCTGCATTAGAAAAGCAGCTAAAACTACCTTAAGACGGATAACCACAGCGATAGTGTGGATGCAGGTGTTAGTAGATAGCGGATTTCGATTCATGGTGTTAGTAGATAGCGGATTTCCAACTATCAAAACAACACTGGTCCTATCTTCAACAAAGCAAACTAGTTAAATGATCATTAACCCGCTTCAGTCATTGCTGGGTCAGCAGTAGCCCCAGGCCTTGTTACGAGATTTCGCTGCGTAACGAAAACGCTGAACACATTTCAAAGTAACTCAACTCAGCAAATTTATTTGCTGAGTTGAGTTACTTTAGCGTCACTAGCCTCTTTTCAAGTACCGCATTATAATTAAAGTTATTTTCTTAACGCGCTAAAAATTAAAGACAGTTTTTTTTTCTCACTATAGCATAAGCTACAAATAAAATATAAGTTCCTATTTGAAAAATCGTTTTTATCATTTCTTTCTAATAGGAACTAAATTTTATTTTGAAAAAAATATTTTTTTTCACACAACGTAACATGATATTAGTTTATCTTTTTATAACTTTACAGTTGGTTTTTGTTTTTTTTATTAACTGTTAATAAATTTTTTCTTATCTTTGTTATGAATATTGTTTTTAAAAAATAAAGAGTTTTATCAGTTACCGATAACATATTCGTGATCATAAATGTTATGATCATAAATTAAACGTATGTCATTAAAAATTTACGTTATTCGAATTGAATAAACAATAAACATAATATTATTAATAATAAATCTTATTAATAAAATATTTACATCATAATAAATCGTGCATTTTTTAAATTACTATGACAAAAAATGATTTATATATTTAAAATGAATTTATATATTTAATTCCTTAAGATTGTCTTCTGGCATATCATCTTCACTGTCTATGTCATCAGCATCGCTGCATGTTTGTGTATCTTGAGTATTTGCTGTTCTAACTTTGTTAGAATCACCAACATCAGATTTTCTTTGTTTTTTCATTTATTTCAACAACGATAAGTCAATAATATTATCGTATTCATCTTTCGACCAAAGACTTTTGTTGCCAAGAATTATGACACAATCAGCAAGTGTGTCATGGTTCATTGATAGGCGTTTATCTGCTAATATATTTGTAGCAATACTAAAAGTTCCCTCGACTTCCAATTTCGATCCGGATATAGACATAATAAGAGAAACTAGAAGACATATATTGGGAAATTCTTTAATTTTATGTTTAAAAATTACATTCCATAAACTTCTTACAGGATGAGACTCGTACTCAGTTGTGACTAAAAGTTTAAGTTTTTTCCATTCTCGTAAAGCAGCATCTCTTTAAAACCCAGCATTTATTAATGAGACTTCGAAATGGTCACTAATTAACTAGATTTGCGTAACTCCCGATTCTTTATCTTCAGCTATCCAATGTATTGGATCAATAAATTTCATACTTCTGTAAATGGAAAATTCACGAGAGTAATCTTGAAATCTACTTGAAAGTAACTCATTAAGTTTAGGGAAAATCACTCTTTTAATTTCATGCATTTTTTGAATTGTTTTTTCAAGATCAAACTTATTCATCTCCATTGCTACATTAATGGAAGAACGATTTTTAGGATGTTATCTTTTATCACCAGCTCTTTGAAAGGAACCTTCAATTTTATTTTGATCAGTGACCAAATAGCGAATTACAAAGCTGTCATAAAATTCATCTTCTTCCCCAATTGATTTTATTTTATCGTCTATTTCTATTAAAGTTCGTTGAATAGTTGTCGGAATTTCGTGAGGTAATAACTCATTTTTTTCAAAAATTTTTGAAGCTGGGATGATAACTTCCAAACAGTCTAAATATAAACCTACTTGAACAAGAAATGATTGACATTTAAATAATTTTAATAGACCTTTTACTTTTCCAACTGTTTTGCCATTTTTTGGGTCACTTGCATAATTTTCATATGCTGAAAGAAAGGCTGGCCATGTCTCGAGAAGACTAGAAAGGACTCTTTTCCTGTGCCCGATAAATCTTGTACCATATATTTTTGGTAAAATGTAAAAAGTTAGAATTTCTTAGTAGGTAATAATTTGACAAATAAAATTCTTCGATCTTTATAAATTCCGTTACATCCTTGAATGTGTCTTTTATTGCCAATTCGATTCTGTTGTTGATACAAAGTATTTTCAATAACCATTTGCAAGATTTTTCTAGCTGTGTTAGGGCACCATTTTTTATACCAAAATTAACGTTTGGGTTGTCAGCTGTGGCAGAAACTAGTTTTTTAATATAATCTTCAGTAGATATTTTAAAAAATGAATTATCTGACTCAAAGACACTGTTAATACCAGCAGTAACTGAGTTTGAATCGCTTCCATAAAAACGTGACATTTCCAACAACTCAGTAACCATATATATTGAGATTCCATTGCGCTCTGTACGGACTAAAACAAGTTCTTTTTCTTTTCCAGTTTTTCGTGCTTGACTTCTGTCGCTAAGTATTGAGAAGAAGTTGCAATTTTTGAGAATTTTATAGCATTTCTCACGGACAGTATTGGCACAACATTTGATAAGTTCTCTGCCAGTAAATCCTGTTTCTTTACGATTTATGAAGTTTGATCCTGTGATGCGTGCACAATCAACCTGAAGATATAATAAAAAATTATTATAAAAAATTAATACTTTCACGTAATAAATTAGGAACTACGATTAAAGCTTAAACTTATTTGAACTTGTTTTTCATTTTTTCAAAATTAACATTTGTTTGCTAAAAAAAAAGTTTAACAAAAAGTTTAACTAAAACTTACAAGAATAGTAAAATGTGCTTGAGGCATAGTTGGATGGCAAGCCATTTCATAAGCTATTTTTACCAAGTTTTTGTAAAAATTATTTGTAGATTTTTCTTTCTCTGTCAATTTTGTTTCACATGAACTAATGTTGAGTTTGTCGGTTTCCACCTTATAGAAATAGTAGATAAAATTTCTTAAAAGGACATAAATGAGTTGTAAAAAAAGTTATCATAATTATATTAAATTTATGAAAATAATGAGGAATTCCATGGAAAGTAGACAGTTTGATGACTTTATTTTATAGAGGCTTTGTTGCATGTAGTAAATAATTATTTCATATTTAAACTTGAAAATGATTTTTATTTATAAAAAGTGAACTAATTCAAATTTTCAACATCTTTGTTTAAAATTATAGTTTAAAATATAAAATAATTATAATATCTGACTATTAACCTGTTGCTCTTTGTCGTTTGCTTTTGCTTCTTTGTTTTCATTTAGGTCTTCATTTGACAATCGGATTGCATTTCTGTGGGCAGCACTTTGTAAATGTTGAGAAATGCCATCTTTTTTAACGTAGCGTGTCCCACTTATGTATTGTAAAGCGATACATAAATGGGACACGCTACTCACTGATACACTTATTGCTCCTTTGGTATTGGCCAGTATATTCTCTTGATGAAGAGCACATACATTACAAAATATTTTCACAACATATATAATTCCATTTTCTACAGCAGTTTCTATCGGAAAGATTCCATTTTTCAAAAGTTTTCAAAGTGACTCAAAGTGTTTTTACTCAAAATGTTATCCATTTGATTATGTATTTTTAAAAAAGTTTAGAATGGTTGAATGATTTGTTGAAATCCTTAGTAAATACAGGCTTGGACAGGAATGGCATGCGATCGCACTCTGTAACTGACCACACTAATATTTTTATTTCTTTACAACTTGACCACCGCTATTTTGATGTTTTAACAATTTGAATGCAATAAAAAAAGTGTTACGTTATAAATGTTGATCTTTTCTAATGTTTTTTATTTTACGAAAAGGCTTTAAATAAAACCATAAAATTAATTATAGTTATTGTTTACATAAACGCTTGTGTAAATTAATAAAAAACGTTACATATAAGTTTTTTTTATGTAAGCATGTATTTTTTACAATAAATTTAAATGTTTGAAACTATTTTTTCAATGAATAAGTTCAAAAGCTTTTGTGACTACTAGCTTTTACACATTTTATGCAAATTACTCAAGAATATAAAATAACTTTATTTACTTATAAGCATGTATTTTGTTGATTAATGAAAAAGTTTTAAAGCATTTTGTAATGTTTATATGATTAATTTCTTTAAACTTACCATTAATTTGATTAAACTTACGATATTTTAAAATGTTTTAAATAAACATTTTATTTTTTGTAAACATTTTTTTTTTTTTGTTTCAATTTTGTTAGGAATGAATGAGTTTAAATCATTTATAATAATTTTTAAATTCGTTGCGCAAAGCGCTTATTAATAAAGTTGTAAAGCTCAAATTAAAATTAAATTAAAATGCTTGTTGGCAGTTTATTTTATTTAAATCACAAGCGCATTTTATTTATTTTTCTATTTTTACAAATAAAAAAGTTGAAATCCTTTTTTTTAATTAGACTTACTAATTAGAGAATGAATTTAGTAAAAATTACTATTTTAAAAAGACTACGTTATATTTTTAAACAATTTTTTTTTTTGCAACTTTTTGTAAAAATAAATGTTAATAAAATTTAAAAATATTATATACAACACTTTTTAATAAATTTATTAAAATTTGTTCATTTATGAAACCAATCATTAGTAGTAATTTATTACTTAATTTAAAAACATTTTGTGTAACTTTAATACCGTTTAAAAAGATAACGTTTATTTCATTCATAATTAAAAACGTAACAGAAAGTTTCGCTTCGACTTTAAGCTTTTATTTTCATTATAGTGCTTATATAATTTCTTTTTCGTTATGAATTTGTTTTTAGTTTCTTTTTTTATTAGGAATTTTTTTTTCGTTAGTTTTTTTTTTTAATTTTTTTCCTAGTTTAAGTTTAGTTTAGCGTTTCTACATTCAGAGCATTTTTGAAACTTTTAAATCATCAAAACATATAAACAATCGTGGTCAAGTTGTCAAAAAATAAAATCATTAGCGTGGTCAGCAATAGCGCTCGATCGCACGCCATTCCTGTCCAAGCCTGTAAATATGAAACTCCTTATAAACGAAATTAATATGTCGTAAGGAAATTAAAATAACTAACATTAGCTAGAAGTTTATTTTGCTTTATTATTAACAAGTTTCTGGTATCTTTTTCAAAAAAGCAATTCTAGCCAAGAAACAAATTTAATGCGGATTAAAAAATAGGCAGCCTAACTAAGTGTAATAACTATTGTACTTTAAAATCTAATTAAATATATGTCTTATATGTCTTCATTTTTTCATGAATGGAAAAATAATTTTTTTTCTCTCCTAATAGTTATTAACAAAGTAACATTTTAGTGGTGAAAAATGTTTTAGCTCTCATTAGCAAAACAACATCTTAATATCATTGTAATTACAGAAAAAACATTTTTATAAATAGGAAACAACTGATTTTGCTAAACATTACCGTTTTTTTAAATATATTTGTTTTAAATATATTTTTGTAAACCTTTCTATAAATATCATTGATAAAAGTTAATTTTAGTTATAATACTTAAACAAAGCAAAAATTCAACAATTTTTTTTAAAGAACTTGACTAGTAAGTATACATCTTATTAGAATAAACTAATTCTAATCGACGTTCTTTCTATGATCAATCTAAAAAATTAATGATAATGGAAACACGTATGCAATCTTTGACACTAAAAAAATTATTTACTTGTAAATACTAAATATTCAAAAAAAAAAAAATTCGATCCACTAAATTTTCAGACATATTACCGACAGGTCCAGCCAGGGGCGATTTTAGGAATGAAATAAGGAGAGTGAATCCTTCAAAAGTCTCAAAAACCTTTACCCATACAACTCGTGAAATCACACTAGGGTCTCGACAATTGATGATGAGGAAATGATTTACTAAACAGCTCTTCATAAGTACTTTCTTAAAGGGACGAAAAAAAGAAAAATTATTTTAAAATTATAAATAAATAAACAAAATACATTACATATAAAATAAACATTACTTGTGAATAAAGTTTATAAACTTATGAAATATAAAACTTAAAATTAAATGTGATGAAAAGTTTAAACTTAAAACACTTTATTTTCTTTAAGTAATTTAAAAAAAAAAAAAAAAAATTAAACAAACTGTTTCTTTAACAAAAAATCTATTAGTTTACAATTGCAGTTAAATGCCTTTACTTACGACTTTAATACTTCTGAATGAACGTCACATAAATGATATAAAAAAGAAGATTTAATTATTCTAAAAGATAAAAGTTTTTGCGTAACGCAAAACTGCTGAACGCGTAGGCAAATCGCTTTTTCGCAGGTAAAATGCGAGCTGCGTAACGCTTCTTAACAAGGCCTGTAGCCCCCTCAGCTAATTAACTACTTGCTGCTAGACCTTAACTGACACTTCACAAAAGAAGCAGAGCCTCAGAACAGTAGTTAAAACCACCTTGAGATGAGTCACCATAGCAATATACTAGACTGCGGGCGTTGATTGGTGTAGGTAGGGAGGTTGTTGGAATTTTTTGTGATTAAGTTTTTATTTTATTATTATTAATAATTTTAAATTATGAAAAAACACTTATGTTCACTTAAATTTAAATTTAATAAGAATTACTTTCTCTTCTTTAAGAATATTATGCACTCTAATTGTAGAATACACTACATAATATATATATATATATTATATATATATATATATATATATATATATATATATATATATATATATATATCCTATATAGTAATATATCTTATACTGCTGAGTTAGGTAAGCATGATGATGTCATACTCACCTAACGTCAAATAGCCTGCTGTCGGGGGCTTCAGTACATACATCGACTGACAAATAGCCATACTCGCAGTGGAGTGCTGCTAAATCGACTGAGGGTTTGGTATGGGTCAGCAACCTTTTCATTCATTATTCTTCGTTTTCCCTCATCGTTTTTTAAAAACGCTCACTTAATTTAGGCTAGCAAAAAAGTGAGCAATTGCGCATATAAATATGCTATAGTAGATATATATATATATATATATATATATATATATATATATATATATATATATATATATATATATATATATATATATATATATATATATATATATTATATATATATATATATATATATATATATATATATATTATCATATATATTATATATATATGACATATATATTATCATTATTATTAGGGTTAGGGTTTAACCCTAACCCTGATAGATTCTGTGATTTTTACTGATAAGCAGTTTTAATTAGTGCCCTGATGCTACCTTTAAACGTCAATAAACTTTTTAACTAAGTTTTATTTAAATGATAACTATTTTAGCCACAGTAATCTTAATACACAAATGTGAGCTGTGAGGCTTGATTACTTTCTGACCCCAAAGCCTAAATCTGATTGATTACTTTCTGACCTTAAAGACTTTACTGCTTTAATTGCCTCCATTACTTTACACCCCTGCCTTAATTGTCCCCTACTTTACACGTCTAAAATATTTAGTTAAAATTTTAGAGTTTACAAAACAAAAATTAATATAAAAAAGTAATTTTTACAACTTTTGATATAGTAGATACAGTAGAAGTACACAATACTTTCTTTTTTTTTAGCTTTAAATAAATGCAAAAAGAAAAAAAAGATCTCTTTTTCTCTGTTTTTGCCAAACAAATAAGGAATCAATAAATAATTTTAGTAGAGATATATCATATTCATAAAATGTTTATGTAATATAAAGTATACCTTTTAATGCTTTAACACCACTAGTCTTCAGTGAAGAAGTTGTGTACTTATGGTTTAACTTAATTGCATTACAATCATCTGAATCACTAAAAAACATGAAGCAGCATGATAGCTTTTCTAAAACTTCTTCTAGGTCTTTAAGGTCATGATCACCATTACCATCAATCCAGCAAAGTGAGTAAATTAATGCTAAACGATAACCACTTTTAACTGGTAAAATTTCATGTTCCACGTCCGCATAATGGGCAACAAACTGGGGATGGTACGGTGCTCGTTTTGTCATTTGACCAAAATCATACAAAGTCGATTCACTTTTATGATAAACAACAAGCTCACCCCCTTTTTATTTCAAAAAAATAAGATTAGGCTTCTGTATATAATCTATTACCTTACTAAAAATAAAAATCAATTTTTATAAAAAAAAGAGTACCTTCGTGAATGCTAGGTAATTGCAGAACAAGTGTTCCGAACATTTGCTTCTCTTTCTCTGTATCTCTATGCCTCTTAAAATGACCGCCCTCTTTGTACAAAAGTAATTTGTACAGCTTTGCTTCTACTCTACTTGTGCAACCCAATCCAATAGCAACTCGCTCTACTAACTTACTTAAACTGCTATTCCATTGAGGATTTTTGATCTCAAATTCGTCTGGATTAATTTGATACGTATCTCTCACACTAGTGTCAACAAGTGTTTGATGTTTTAGTCCATAAGGTGCTTGTTTAAAAACTCTGATGAGACTATCTGCATTTTCACCACATAGTGGCAGTGGTACATAACCATGTGACTTTATATATAAACCTGGCAAAGTTGGCAATTCTGTTGCCTCACCTCCAATTGACTCTTCACCATTCAAATTTACTTTTTGAATTAACTTGGGAATTTCTCTTAAATATTTTATTTTTGCTTCTTTTGTTTCATTCTCATAACTGTGAGTTGTTTCTGATAAGTCCTCCGAAAGCAATGATGGTTTCCTAGTCATACTTCCTTCGCTTTCTTCTCTTGAATAAGAAGATTTATCAGATTCGAGTGATTCCTCATCATAAATACCATATTTGTTATGATAATATAATGACTTTACATTATTACTAAATACTGACATTTTATTATCATTAGACAATGAGTTTTCATCATCATCAGACACTAAATTAATATCAGTCTGTAACTTGTCAACATCATCAGAAACAGAACCGAATTTATTTTTGGCATCTACAAGGTTGCACTCTTCATTGCGCAAATCATTCAAAACAGATAAATCACAATATGTTTTATAATTACTGGTTTCTAAAACATTTTTAGTCATATTGTCACCATTATTTGCCATATTGTCATCATTTTTTGTCATATACGAAGTAGAACTTGGCAAGTTAAATAGCTTTGGTAAACATATTTCATTATTTTTTGGTTGATCAATATTGTTTTCAGAATATTTTATATTCTCTTTATTTCCTAATTCATTATTTTTTTTTATTATGAAGTCATCTTCATAGCCAATCTTTCTCTTTAAAGGTTTCATTTTATCTACTTTATTATCATATTCAATCAATATCAATATTTCTGAAATAGTTATTACTTTTTATGAATATTTACAAATAGTACATGTTATAATTATAAGTAAAAACTATTCTGAAATTAATAACATTTAATCTATAATAATAAAATTTTATTATTGTAAGAGTAAATATAATAATAAAAGTGGTAACTAGTAATGGTCCGCAGGGTACCACCTTAAATTTGCTTCAAATTTTGACCACCCACAGCTTTTATGAAAAAAAAAAAATCCAGAAAATTTCAGCTTGATTGACCAAACTGTTTATAAGTTATAATTGAATTAATATAGACCGAAATGGGAAAAAATTTGAGTATCTGGGGCTTACAGTAGATTTTCTCGATTTTTACCAGATCATAACTGAAATTTAATAAAATTTCTAAAGCTGAAATTTTCTGGATTGTGTTTTTTTCATAAAAGCTGTGGGTGGTCAAAATTTGAAGCAAGTTTGAGTGGTACCCTGAGGCCTTATCGAAAAACTAGGTGATTTCATATGGAATAACCCAGTATTTATTTAAGGAGAGGAATAAACTGCTATTAAAAACATAGTATAATTGGAGAGTCATAGGGAGGTTTATTCTAAGATTTTATACTTGAAATTTTTATGGACTAATGCTCTTATGTAGCAGAATGATGTTTTAAGACTGGTACTGGTACGTACTATATAACCAGGCTTGGTTTTTTAATCGTTTTGAGAACATTTAAGTTTATGTACGAAACAAAAAATTTTTATTTTACGGACATACGTGGAAACATAAAAAACTTGAATGTTCTTAAAACATCTTTGCGCGAAAGAATAGAAAGATTATTTGCGAACACTAAAAACCCGCCAAATTAACGAACAAACTAATTCTATTGGTTCAAAAAATACGCTGATTAAGCGAAATAAAGTTCTAGAGTATTCTGTCAAAATGTTTTTGATATTGTATTATTCACGATTTGTTACTTTTTGAGATTTCTAGCATTGTTTTAAGAATATTTGTTTACGAAAATGAATGTTTTAAATATATATTAATTAAATTGATAAAATTATAAAAGTTTATCAATTTAATACTAAGTAACTAAGTAACATACTAACATACTAAGTAACTCGCGGATGAACAAGCATCGCGCCTGAGGTCACGACAGAACACAAATATATATAGCAAATAATTAGATATAAAGAAAAGTTTCTAGATATTGGTTTACTAACTCTAATTATTTTCGCTTAAGTTGTCACTCTTAAAACTCATTATACTTTTTTCTGCTTTAAATACTAATTAAAATTAAAAAACCCACTCACTAAACATCATCAGCGATATTGTGAAGCAGTTTCGCTTCCTGGTCATTAAGTATTTTTAACCTTTTTAGTTGATTTCTATCTTGATAATTTAATTCCTATAGTAATTCAATGATTTAATTATTTCATTTGTTTATCTTACTAAGAAGAATTGCTTCAAATATGTTAAACTTTTTGAACTACGCGAAACATAAAATAGGTATTAAAAAAATTAACTTTTTTATTTATAAAATAAATTAGGCTTAAGTAAAACTAAAACTTGCAAACTTAGTTAAATGAAGAATATTTGTTTCCCTTTTAAACAATCGTAAGTTGTTACTTTATATAAAAAACATTGCTTAATTTTATAAAAAAAATTATAAAAAAGCGATGTTTCGAAAATAATTGTTCTAAATATAATTTATTTAGCTTTAAGTTTTTTCGCGTTTAAAGATATTTTATTTGCCTATTTTTTTTTTTTGTAATTGTCTTATCATCGGTCCAATTAATCTTAGTTGCTTTTTTTTTGTTGCTTTTTAAAATATTCTCAAAACGACTAAAAAATCTGGCCAGCTTTTCGCAACGGAATACTATTCACGTGGTCAGCAATCGAGAGCGATCGGTCCCGCTTCCCGACCAAGCCTGTATAACCAGTTAAGTTTTGCTATAGTTGAGAGAAAGCTTATTTAAACAAAGCCACTGAACTAGACTTTGCAAGATCATGGTTAATGCCTAATACTGATCCTTGAGGATACCAGTGGAATATTTTATTTGAATAGATTTTTCTAGAAATACAGATAAATTTAGTCATATGATCAAATATTGATATAATGAGATAGCCAGAGATTTAATCAGGTGAATGGAAGTTTATATATATGTTATCAATAAGTGTCTGCAATTTAGCTGTTATGCTTGTTGGTAAAATTATAGAAGGGTCTAGAGAATAGGAGTTTAGTGAGTCAAGGTAATTAGAAATTAGAAATTGGATATGACATTATATCTTAGAAGATCCATATCTAAATCTTCCACAAAAAGAATGCTTTTTTTTTAGTATTTATTTAATAGAGGAATTAAATAAATACTAATCAATTTGCCTTGATTCCTAGAGGAATGTTTGATTTATAGAGGGATTCATAAAAGGATGTTGGTATATGCAACAATTTTTTTTTTTTTTGTGAAGCTTCATAGCTTTAACAAAAATAGATTCAAGATATTCAGAAGATCTTTTGGTCATTACAAGCTATGTTATTTAAATTAAACTTCAAAATTTTTAACTAATTTTTAAATTATTACATATAAATCCTATACTAACTATCAAAATTTTATATTAGACTGTTATTAACTTTATTTTTATTAGACTGTTGGTAAGCAGAAGATAGTATGGCTCAGGATATGTTTTTTAATTGTGCAAATTTTGTTGTTACATCAGTTAATATTGCGTGAATTTTTGGATAATCAAGGCACAAATAATAAACAAACAACCGAATTGAATCAAATCAAATATATTATGAAAAATTTTATGTTCAAGGAAAATACAAACAATACAAATATTAATATAAAGTTAAAACTTAACACATCATCATTATAATAAAAATAATAATAATAATAATAATAATAAAATAAAAATAATATTATTAATTGTATTTATTACTATTTTTGAACAAATATAAGAGTAAATACACTTGAACAAAAAACATTTCTATTTTTTTCTTTTTTTAATCATCAAGGTGCTACAAGAAAACAACCAGTGTTGTCTTTACTATGCAAATATTAATATAAAAAATAAAATATTAATATTAAAAAAAAAATTTGTGGTGCAAATAATATTAAAAAAAAAAGTGCAAATATGAATATAAAGTTAAAACTCAACACAACATCATTATAATATTAATAATAAAATAAAAATAATATTAATAATTGTATTTATTACTATTTTTGAACAAATTTAACAAATATGTAAACACACTTGAACAAACAACATTTTTTTTTTAGTCATTAAGGTATATTTTTATACAAAAAAATATTAAGAACTGATACATAATTAAATGAATTGAATTTTTTCAATTAAACTTTTAATAATTTGTTAAAAAAACAAGAATAATTTATTTTGTAAATAATTTCATTTTATTAGATAATACCTCTTTATTAGGTAACCAATAAATTTCTATACACTTTTTCAACTTTAAAAAGTTATTCTAAAAATCAGATTATAAACCCATTACAGTTATTTCCATTGCATTTACAGTTGTTGAATGAGCAATTTTTCTCAGTTTCTCAGAGCAGGATATTGGCTTTGTGATTAGTGCAACCATTTGAAACAACCAATGCTCCCAGATCTATTCCCAATGAAAATCGCAGACCAAAACTTGACAATCTATTAGTGATGTACCGATATCACTTTTTTGGCCGATGCCGATACTGATGGATGGGAAAAGACCGATACCGATGAATTAACTAATTATTAAACAGAATTGGACCCCATCTATTTGCTAAACTTGAGCCTCTTTCCCATCATTGTAAAGTTGTCTTTCTCTTTTCTACAAATACTATCATGATTGCTGCTCAAAGGAGCTTTTATCTGTAGTTCCATCAATCAAAACTCATTCTCACTTGACTCATTATTCATCAAAGTCTCATTCGTTTACTGTATGTCTCTTCATGCTCTAAAAACTTTTTTCTTGTCTAGCTTATTTCCCAGCACTTTAACCCTTCGGAACATTGTCCCATCTTGATGTTTTCCTGACTCTTGATGTTTTCCTGACTAATACAACCTTCAACTTTTTAACTCTTCTGTCAACCGTTTTCTTGATCTATAACTCTACTCTTTTTTTTCTAGCTACTCATAACTTGATAATGGTTGCTTGCGCCCTTGTTGGGAGAAAAAAAGAATTAAAAAAATATAGATAATAATGCTTAAATAGGTTACTTTTAAAGTTTTTGCCTGTAAACAAAGTCACAATAAAAATTAATCCAAAAAATTCTAAGTAATGCATAAAGTTTAGTTTATTTTTTATTCAATAATTATAATAATGCACAATAAAAATGTTAAAATGCCATCTGTTGGAAAATGGGTATAAGAGGCCGATGCCGATACCAATTCAGATTGTACAAAAAGTGGCCAATTAAGCCAATGCCGATTAATTGGTACATCACTACAATCCATAAAGCGTAAATAACCTTAAACCCAAATCAAACAAATGCTAAAAATTTTATTTCACACCATCTGTTATAACAACCAATCCGAAGAACTATTATAAAAAAAGAGACTTTATTGAAATGCTATCTATTCAAAACACTTACCAGGAGAAGTTTCTTCCAATGCATTTATTTCCTAATTACAGTAATTTGTCATGCAAAATTTAGGAAAAAGGTTTGAATTCATTTTCTTTAATACATGCATGCTTCGTAGATTGCTCTTTTTGTTTCATTCTCTGTAATAAAGCAACTAACTATTTGGTAATCAACATTTATTTTGACTACTAAAAAAATAATTGATAAAACATATAATAAGAGCATTTTATTACCATATTAAAGCACAAGTTGCATTGCCAATATGTTAATGAATATAAGTGAATTTTCTGACCCATTTTCAGTAAAATTCAAATCATCTTCTTCATTAATGTCTTCATCTTCATGTGTTTGATCTGCTATGTTTTTGTTGTGAAGTTGTTTTTAGATTGAAAAAAAATATTTACTGATGGATCCTCTATTTGCCATTATTTAGTGTCATTATTTAGTCAAGAAGGCATT